TATATCTGTGTGTTTATGTGTATATCTGTGTGTTTATATGTGTATATGTATATCTGTGTGTTTATATGTGTATATGTGTGTTTATATGTATATCTGTGTGTTTATGTGTATATCTGTGTGTTTATATGTATATCTGTGTGTTTATGTGTATATGTATATCTGTGTGTTTATGTGTATATCTGTGTGTTTATGTGTATATCCGTGTGTTTATATGTATATCTGTGTGTTTATGTGTATATCTGTGTGTTTATGTGTATATCTGTGTGTTTATGTGTATATCTGTGTGTTGATGTGTATATCTGTGTGTTTAGGAGTCAGAGCGAGAGCGTCAGGCTCACCGACTTCTTCAGTTCCAGTTTAAAGAGACGGAGGAAACTCTGAGACACTCTGAGGAGCTGCTGACGGTCAGTTCATCATCATCATCCACCGATCAATACTCCTCACACATCATCAGCAGCAGTTCAACTATGAAGGAGACTTCTCTCTCCTTGAGTCTTTAATGCAGCTCATACTAACACTCTCTGACTGCTCCTCATCTTCCTCCTCCTCCTCCTCCTCCTCCTCCTCCTCCTCCAGGAGGTGTCTGACCTCCGGTTGAAGAGCAGCAGTTATTGTCAGGAGGTTTCTGACCTGCAGGAGGTTCTTCTGTGGAAAGAGAAGAAGATGGCGGTAGGACCTCAGATTATAGATCATCTAGCGAACACTTGAGAACAGGAGAACATCAGAACACTTGAGATCATCAGAACATCAAAACACATGAGAACACTTGAGAACATGAGAACATCAGAACATCATAACACGTTCTCCAGTTTGTGGTTAGAGATCACAACTTGTGCTTCAATGAGATATTATCATTTAGATGTTGTATCCGTCATTGGTCACAAACGTTAAAAAAATGATTTGAGAGTCCGCTAGTGAGCAACTTCCATCTGCTACTTCCTGTTTGACTTCCTGTTTGACTTTCTAATTAAACTGAACTAATATGACTAATGTTCACTCTGTTTCACTTCTTCCTTCCTTCCTTCCTTCCTTTTCTTCCTCTTCCTTTCCTCCTCCTCTTCCTCCCTTCCCTTTCTTCCTCTTCCTTTCCTCCTCCTCTTCCTCCCTTCCCTTTCTTCCTCTTCCTTTCCTCCTCCTCTTCTTCCTCCTCTCTCAGGCGTTAGAGAGGCAGAGAGAAATCTCTGACATGGTTCTGATTGAACGTGACCGGCTCAGAGACGACGTCGTCGGACTGAGAGATTTACTGAAGGTACTCGGAGGAGGAGCACCTGTGTGATGTCACTGCTCCACCTGTGTGATGTCACCGATCACATTCCAGTGACACGGAGGTTATTGATCGATCGATTGATTGATAAGTGACTCGATGATTTCCTCCCTGACAGAAACACGGAGTGGTCGTCTCTCCCGAGGTCTCCACCAATGGGGAGGCGGGACAGGGCGAGGCCGTCGATGATGTCACCGCTGAATCTGCCCTCCGATTGGCTGAGGAGCCGTCTCATGGTGGCCGAGAGAACACGCTCGGTAAGAACCAATCAGATGGTGTTGATCATTAACACCAGATGAGATTTATTTTATTACTTTTTATTAAAGATTATTAAATATTAATGTAAGATAATTCCTTTTTTTAAATTGCATGATTACTTTTAAAATCACATCAATTATGAGTCAAACTTTTGATTTACTGAGTAAAATGTAGGATTTATGAGATATTAAGATGATGACCATGAGGTAGATTTGATGGTACTAAGACAAATGTTTGACTTCTTTTAAAAAGTACTATCAGAAAGTTAACTACAAATGTGAGCAGTACAAGGTTTTAGATACAAAGTCAAACAATTCATTTGTTTTAATTCTTTCATTTCATCTATTTTTTTCTTCGTTGTTTGTGTCACATTTCAGAATAAAATGCATGATGTCCAATGTTTTTAATGTGCTTAACAAATGCATGCCACTTAATACTTTTTGTTCAATTTCATGATGAGAACATTTGATGATTTCAATCAACTAAGCGTCTCGTTTAGGTTGGATATTCTAAAAATGAATCAGCATCTACCGTCTAACACATCAACATCGTCCTGAAGATTAAAATCAAGAACTCTCCTTTAATCCCTCTGTGATCGAGACGTTGATTCATCTCTCGTCGAGTCGCTTCAGGCTGATTCCAAACATCTTTTAAATTCTCCTTCTTTTACATCTTTAACCGGTCGCCTGTGTTTGGTCTTTCAATGTCTTCTTCATGGTCTTTCAGGGGAAGTTCAAGAGCAGCAGCCGGCAGAGGGAATCGAACTCATGCGGGACGACGTGAAGTACGACCGCTCTTGGATTAGTAAACGCTCCCAGTCGCTAAACGTCACTTCTACCAGCAACCAAACCAGAACTTTAGTGAAGGGGTTTGATAAACGGGCCAGTAACGGAACAGGAAAAAACGAGGATGCGAGGAAACTACCGAGAAACAAAGGAAGTAAAAAAGATCCGACCAAGAAATTTAAAGTCATACCGTTTAGAAATGAGGGAATTAAAAAACAACGGATGAAGAAATCTTCGCAGATGTGTGAGCCGAAATCTGCTCATTTAAATGTGGATCAGGTCTTTGAAGCCAGAACTGAACTTCACAGTGAACCGGTATCATCAAACCAGGATGTCCTCGTGTCCTTTGACGACCAAATCTGCAAAATCCAAAGTAATCTGGGAGGAAATCAACTGTTAGTACGTCAATCTGAAGGTCGGGCAAAATGTGTAGATTTGGTTCCACGTGTTCGCAGAGCTGCAACTGAAAAAGTCCACAAATCAAGACTTGTTCCCCCCCCGACCCGCAAGAGACCTGATCCTGAACAACAAGGCGGTAGTTTCAAGTTTCACGGCTGCTGGCGAACTGAACCCTCTGACTCAAGAGAAAGTTCTGATGGGGAATGAGACTCCATTTTCTGACGGGGATGTCGCGCAAAAGTGTTCGACGGCTGTTAATCGTATTTTCCAGAATCAGGCGAAGGGAGAAAACTTGTGCAGAGATGTAAACTGTTCAGAAGGGGAAGTAGTGCCAGATACTCTAGCTTTGGGTGCAAAAGAATGTAAAATAAATGAGTTCAGGACTCAGACGTTAGCGGACAGTTTGGAAGAAAATGAATTTGTTGACAAGTTGGCTGATGAGTGTGATGGGGGAAGGTTTGTATATCAACATACAAAAGTTCTCAGAGATTTGGTAGAGAATGAGACGGTTGTATCGACGGGTAAAGCTTCTCATACTCCACAACAACCGTCAGAGAATTTGGGAAGCACCCAAAATGAAGACGAGGTCTTGAAGGATGAGGGTGATGTAAGTTGCTCCGGTGTATCTGAAGGGCTTAAACCATCAGAGCTTGATGCATTTTTACCAACAGAGGAGGAAATCGTTGATGGAAAGTCAGGTACATTTGAGAACTGGAGGATTTCTGAAGAGGAAGCTGTTAGAAAAGATGTTCAGATTAAGGAAAAGACTCAAGACAATTCCTTTGAATGTCCCGAATGCACCAACCGGACAGGAACACCATCCACTCTGTTAGTCCCAGTCAAGGTGTGGACGGACAGGAGTTGTTTGGAAAAGACGATTCAAAGCATGCTGAGAGGGTTTCTTGAAAGTCAGGGTTTTGCAGCTGAAATCTCAAGACTTTTTCCAGAGATCTCAGATTCTCTCAATCAGTGGATTTCGGATTTGGAGAAGAGGCTCAAGAATGTTGTGGAAAATGTGTCAAATCAGGGTGAGTCATTTGACCAAGAACCACCAGAACAAATGATGGGTATTAAACTCAAAGCCGAGGCTGAACTGCCTTTGAAGGACCGAAAAGAAGGAAGTGAAAGAACTGAAGATCCTGAAAGTGAGGAACAGAGTGCTGCTCGAGATTCAACCGTCATCAAAGGCTGGTCAGTCTCAGGGACGTTGGAAGTAGCCTCTCTGGAGGTACATACTCAAACTTATGTCTCTGTGGACTCAAGGAAAGACATTCAGGATCCTCCAGCAAGTGATGACCAAGAAGCATCAGAAAATAACTCTGGGGCAATATTTCATTTTAAGGTGGAAGTCACTGAATCCTCTCATGAAGAAATGCTGAGTGTGAATTCTGTTGACGTAGAAGAAGAAGAGCAAAGTCAGAGCGATCCAGCAGCGACAAGGCGGTCTGAGGAATTAGTTTTTATCGAATTTTACTTCGCTGAACCTGCAAAAACCCAATCTCCTCCTGCTGGAGAAGTCTTCGAGACACAACTCCAAAGGCATGGAACGTTATCAACGAAGGTCAAAAGGCTTCTAGAAAAAACAGCAGATGAAATCAAGGAAATGGCCGTTCCCGAGTTGCTGCTGATGAGTCTACAAGAAGGGAGAATCGTTGAGGATCACCATATTGACGAATCACCAGGATCAAACACTGAGGATCAGGAGGAGTCGTCAGTCGGACACATGGACAGTTGCGAGGAGGTTGGCGAGGAGGCGGCACAGCAACCAGCAACAGAGCAACAGCAACCAGCGACGGAGGTTGTCCTTGGAGGTGGAGAAGTTGCTCCAGCGGCGAGTAACATGAAGCTACTGAGCGGAGGGTTCGGTTTGCGCAGCAGGAAATACAAACGCAAAACTGACTGCAAGATTGCATAGAATCTGATATTCACAACATCACGTGTACTTATGTTAGATCTGTTTAATAAAGCATAAATTGATTTAATTAACTGTATAGTTTCATTATTGTATTGAGTTTATTTACATGGTGTATTTATCAGTATGTGTCCACTTCTTGCCGGTAAGAAACTGTATTTATTACCTCATTTATGAATATTTTTGGTTCTCTTTGATGAATAATTTGATTTCTTTTGTAATTTAATTTCCAGGTATTCATTTATTTATCATTTATTGATAATTATGGTAAATGATTTCAGTTTAAAAAAATTCAATCCATAATTATTTGAGAATAATAATTAATTTTATAATAATAATAATTATGATGAATCCACAGACTCTAATATCAAAACTAATTATTTTAATATCGGGTTAACTGAGTATAATATTTGTGTGTAATTCAACATTTAAAATCGCTCAACATGAAGCTTCATTAAGTGATTTATGACTATTTTCTTGTTCCAGAACTCCGGCTGAAGAAACTGTTTGAAGAAAGAGAGAGTTTACGAGATCAGGTGACGTTTTGCTTCAGAATTATAATTAAGATACATTTATTATACCATAAATGTTTAGTTATGAATCACCATGTTTTTGTGTCAATGTGAAAGGTGAGGCTGCTGAAGTCTCAGCTGGATCAGAGACAGAAGAACGGGACAGACGAAGTCCAGAATCCAGAGGGGGACGGTCTGGAGAACGGGGTTGACTCTCATCTTCTAGACCTACAGAGTGAGACCTCTTCATCTCTGTCTTCTTCTTACTCTTTGTAGAGTTCTTCTCGTCTTAGTCTTCTTCTTAGTCTTTTTATGTAGTATTTGAGGTTCCTTCTCTGTTTGTTTTATTAGGAGACGCCAACCGACAAATCAGTGACATCAAGTTCAAACTGGTGAAATCTGAACAGGAAGTCACCACTCTGGAACAAAATGTAAGTGTAGCTTCTTAATCAACAGATAAAGTGAAATAAAACCAAACAATCCCTTTAAGTCTTTAAGAGTAAAAGAAGATTATCATCAGCGTATCGAGACACGTTTGATTTAGGGACAGTAAAATGTTCTTTCAACTCAGGTGATCCGTCTGGAGGGTCAGGTGACGCGATACAAGTCGGCGTCAGAAAACGCCGAGAAGATCGAAGATGAGCTGAAAGTCGATAAGAGAAAACTTCACAGAGAGGTATCTTTTATTTAATTGTTTTAATTTGTACCGTTTTATGCTTTTAATATGTGTCGGTATTTAGTTTTACATTTATATACTTTATATTTTTAAAAATTAAAAAATATTACTACATTTTTTTATTTGTTCTCTTTTTTGACAATGTCGTTTTTCCAGAAAACCGTCAACTCAGCCTTTTGTGAACATTTAATTATTATCTTTTATCGAATGAAAATAAGAACATAAATATTACTATTTTAAAAAGGTGGCCGAGCCTTTTGTAGTTGTTTTGTTCTGTTACGACCTTTTTGTTTTTGTGGACGTGAACAAACATTAGTCGTGTGTTCCGTGTTTTCCGTCTCTCCACAGCTGCGCTCGGCTCTGGACCGGATCGATGAGCTGGAGGTGGGTAACGCTCACCTGTCCAAACGTCTGGAGAAGATGAAGGCCAACCGCAACGCCCTGCTGGCCCAGCAATGACAAAGCAGTGCTTGTTTTCCTCTGCATGCAGCGCCAGACGGGCGGAGTTTAACCTGAGCTGTAACGTAACATCAATCAATCACGGACAGGTGATCGGTGAAGTAGCTAATGATCCCGCTGCCACGAACACAGTTCACCACAAACACTTCCTGTTTCCTGTCCTGATCATGTGACGTGATGAAGATCATGTGATGCAATCAAAAGCCACTAAATGGATCTTTAGGCCAGCTTGTTTTGTTCCAACTAGTTTCAGGCATTTTCGACAAATTCACTTCCCTGTGGAGCTTCGGAGGGTTCGCGACTAAAAACGTGTGTCAGAGATCCGATTTTAATAAAATATTATATAGAATATTAAGCTGCATGACCACTTCAGATGTGGTAAACTCCACCCGCCTGGCCCTCCCAGGTGTGTTTGAACAAACATCCAGCTCCTCCATCTTGTACGAAGCGATGCACTACCTCTCCTGTGCCGGATCAGACCGATAAACTGGACCGGACCGGCAGCAGCTGAGTTTTTATTTGTTACTTGATATTGGTGTTTTTTTTATGTTTTTATGTGGGAAAGCGTTTGCTTTGGTCTGTTTTTGGAGTTGGGTTTGGTGAAGCCCCGCCCACCAGGTTTTTAAATGAGGCGTTCAGGTGACAGAAAGGGGGCGTGACCACCTGTGTTCTTGTACATTTATATATTTTAGAGACTCACCTGATCTCTTCATGGCACTTGGGATGTAAAATCACCAGCTTGTAAATGTTTTAAATCATCGCTGAATGAACGGATGAAGAGTTTGGATCCAAAACAACCTGTATTTTGTTTTTAATATAATTCTTTGATCAGCTTCCTGATTGGTGCAGGTGACTGCAGGTGTTTATCTACTTCTCCAGGTAGCTGTGGATGTATCCAGTCTTGGATCAAACTCTTCAAACCTGATCAAAATATCATGTGACTAATGTATTCGCAATAACACCGTTGTTGTTGTTGTTTATTTTTTTGAATGTTATATCTTCATCTTCAGGTACGAGAAGTTTTACTCATCAGCTCTGTGCAGTACTTCCAGACGATGTCATTGATTGTGTCCTATTGATGAGGATGTGGGAATCGGTCCATTGCTCTATCGATCTATTGCTCTATCGATCTATTGCTCTATCGATCTATTGCTCTATCGATCTATTGATCCATGGATCTTATTGATCGGGGTGTTCAGGGTGATGGAGAATATTAAAACTCATGACACATCTGTTTTACTGCTGTCAAGTTTTGTTTCATTAATAATCTTGTCGGTTGATTCTGCTTTTAAACCATTACAACTGAGCTAAAACGGATCAATAATTCAGCCCCTTAAGTAGAAACTAAACGGATGATATTTTTCTTTTAGCAGCCATTAATCAACAACATCCGGGTCCTTTAAGTGCACAAACATGAGTCGTTTTTTCCACCCTTTTGACCCCAGAGAGCCTCCGTAGTTTCACTTTTATTTCAGAGTATCAACAAACAAACACACAAACATCTTTCTGCTTTTTAAAAACATCAATAAAAGCAAACAGGAAGACGTAAAGAAGAAGTGGACGTTCAGACTGGACACAGCTGACACACCTGCTGCAGGTAAATCCTTAACACAAAGCTGCTCTATTGAGAGGAGGACTCACTCCTGTGGAAAACCTCTGCACAAAGTCTCTAAATTAATTCATTTAATTTCATTATTAATTTCTCTAATTTTAATATATTTGTCTGCTCAGATTAATAACCTTCAGTTTGATAAATAACAATAATCCCTTTCCTCTGTTAATGTGGTTTCCTTCAAAAGTAGAATATGAATGGAACCTTTTTTATTTTTGTGTTTTATTGAACTTCTTTTTAGTATATTTGTTTATTGAATGTTTTCAGTCAGTTTCACAGAAAAGCTAAATAATTATCAAATGTTAAACTTTTAAATAATTTTGTGAACGAACATCAAGTTTTTCTTTTTAAACGGTTCCTTTACAGGAAATATTAAGTACATTTTGATTTAATTAATTACTTGACCTTTTAATTCATATTCTCATTTTATCAGCATAATTAATTAATTGCTATTTTCTGTATTTTATTTTATGATTCATTCATTATTTTCTTTCGTTAATACAACTTATTATTTTTATTAATCTCGTTTTATTTTAATATTTTAAAAATTGTTATTTACTGTATTTCATTTGAATATTTTTCACATTTTTCAGTATTTTCTGCTTAATACAACTTTAACTAAAGCAATAAAAACATATATAATTAATATTCTTATTGTAATATAATTTTCTTATAAATCCCATTTTATTCGTTGATTAAAACCCACTTTAACTAAATAAATAAAACCTAATTTAGTTTAAATTTGAATGAAACATTAATAGTCACGTGTTAAAGTGGGGTTCCTGGTTCTGGTTCCGGTTGTGAGTCCCGGAGGAGGCCGAGCTGTGAGGCCGCTCTCCTCGCTCTCTCTCCGGGCAGCAGCAGCAGCAGCAGTCGGGTCTAAACCTCCGCAGCTCTTCGTGTTTATCTCGGATTCACTCGGTCTTCTTCGGATCTTTCTTCCCGCTGCTTCGTGAGTTTTCCCGCTGCTGATGAAGGTGATCACAGATCGATTAGTTTATTAATTATTGGTGGTAGAAATTATTAGTGGTAGAAAAACCTTTTATTCTGAAACTTTATAGCGTCACATTTCATTCAATAACAATAACAGTAATAATTATAGTAATAACGGAGTTTAAATGTTAAATATCTGGAGCTGTTTTCGGACCCTTTGTTGCTGTTGCCATGGTTACCGGAACCCGTCCTGAACACGTCATGACTGTTAATGAAGTTCAGCTCATTAATATTCATGAGACACTTCCTCCAAAGTACTGAAGTACTGCACTGAAGTACACTGTGGAGGTGCTTGTACATTACATCTCTTGGGGCGATTGTGGTTAAGTGGATAGCAGGGCCGTCTTTCAATCAGAGGGTCGACGGTTCGAACTCCGGCTCCGCTAGTCGCATGTCGATGTGTCCTTGAGCAAGACACTTAACCCCAAAATGGCTCCCGTAAATGTGATAGACTAAATTGTAAATCGCTTTGGATAAAAGCATCTGCTAAATGACTGTAATGTAATGTCCATCTCAGAGGTACATATAGTACTTTTACTTTACTACATCATAGTACATATTGTACTACATCTTTTACTTTACTACATCATAGTACATACTGTACTACATCTCAGAGGTACATATAGTACTTTCTAATGTACTACATCTCAGAGGTACTTATTGTACTTTTTACTGTACTACTACAGAATGAAGCCGTACAGGAAGTGGCTGCTGCTGGTCCTGCTGGTCTGGCTCCTCCTCTTCCTATCCCTGCTGTGTCACTTCCTGGACCTCAGACCCTCCTTGCTGCCTCGATCCAGATCCGCCTCAGACTCTGGACTCACCGGGACCGAAACCCACTGCCTGAGACCTGCTGGAGTCTCGGAGACGGACTGGAGGAGGAGGAGGTCTAAGGACTACTACAGCTCCAGGTCTCTGGAGATCCTGCAGAGACTATGGAGTGGGAACCTGACCGCGGAGATGCTGAGTCCTCGTCTCCAGAAGGTCCTGAAGGTCCAGCTGAGCTCCAACAGGCACCAGGTGGTTCACCGGCCGAGGGGCGTCCACAGGTCCGGCCCGGATCTGTACTGCGAGCTGAAGAGGAGGACCAGGATCCGGACCGTGGACGGGACCGAGGAGCCGTTCTCCGGTCTGGGCTGGGAACGTCTGGTGCCTTCACTGCCCCTCAGAACGTCCCAGTACCAGAGGTGTGCCGTGGTGACGTCAGCCGGGGCGGTCCTGAACTCATCGCTGGGGGGGGAGATCGGTGAGTCCAGGACCTGGGGGGGTCCACCTGAGGGTCTGGACTAGAATATTACGACGACTACCACTACTATTACTACTACTACCACTACTACTAGTACTACTACCACCACCACTACTACTACTACTACCACTACTACTACTACTACCACTACTACTAGTACTACTACTACTACCACTGCTACTAGTACTAGTACTACTACCACTGCTACTACTACTACTACCACTACTACTAGTACTACCACTACTACTACTACTACTACCACTACTAAAACTACTACTAGTACTACTACCACTACTACCAGTACTAATACTACCACTACTAATACTACCACTACTACTAGTACTACTACTACTACTGCTGCTAGTACTACTAGTACTACTACCACTACTACGACTACCACTACTAATACTACCACTACCACTACTACTACTACTACTGACCTTTAATGACCCTGTCAGGTGAGTTCAGGTGCAGCTTTGTTTCTTTAAACTGTTTTCTCTCCCGTTGAACTCAGACTCCCATGATGCAGTTCTTCGCTTCAACGCCGCCCCCACCAGAGGCTTCGAGAGAGACGTGGGGAACAAGACCACGATCCGCATCATCAACTCCCAGGTACAGGCTCCGCCCACTCAGGTTTTTACTTGAATAAAAATTTAATTAATTTATTAACTAAATATATAATTATATGACATATATTTGTATTATGTTACATTTCTTAACTAAATGTAATATAATATAAGATATAAAATATTTACATTTGTTTCTACCATATTTTTTATATATATATATATATATATATATATATATATATATATATATACTTTTTTTCTTCATATATTCATACATACCTCCTCTCCATCAGATCGTGGCTCAGCCCAAACATCGGTTCAGCAGCAGCTCGTTGTATCAGGACGTCACTCTGCTGGTCTGGGATCCAGCTCAGTACTCCTCCAACCTGACCCAGGTGATCCAGGACTCTGTTTGAATAAACCTTTATTTACACGGAGACATCATCAGCTGTTGTTGTTGTTGTTCTTCAGTGGTTCCAGAAGCCCGACTTCGATCTGTTCTCTGCGTATGTCGAGCGGCGCCACCTCCGACCCGAGCAGCCGTTCTACATCCTGCACCCGGACTTCATCTGGACTCTGTGGGACCTGATCCAGGACAACACCGAGGACCAGATCCAGCCCAACCCGCCCTCCTCAGGGTTCACAGGTACTAGTACACACCCAGGAAACGTAGTGTACACAAACTCAGAGTACAGTGAAAGTTAAGTCATGTTTTTAATAGATATTTAAGGAATTAAAGTGCAATTTAAATGTTACATATGACATCACACGTTAAAGAAGAGAGACAAGCGGCTCACAGAACTTTATTTATTTCAAACAGAATAATTTTACGACGACGTTGAACATAGAAAAATATTCACATTTTATTTTTCAGACGAGTTCATGAAGGAGTTTTATCTGGATAACATTTTAACTCTCCACCTGGTTCATACACAAATATAATGTAGATATAATATATATACTAATAATATAGATATAATAATAATATGATAGAGATAAAATATAAAATCTGCCGAACGCGCTGATGTGTTTTTTATGTTTGTGGTGTTAATAATGTGAGCTCCAGTGCAAAATACAAAACTGGTAGCGTCTGCTTTCTTTGAGAAATGAGTGGTGAGATTTAACATGGAGTCTAATGGAGCAGTTGGTTGGAGTTCATGTTGCTCTGTGGCTCTTTGAGCCAAATGTGTAAGTCTGTTGGATTCCATAGACACTTTACTGCGACCAGCACAACATTTCCAAGCTTTTGGGCCAAAAATGGTGTAAAAAGAGTAAAAATTGTGGGAGCTAGAGCAGTTTGTTTGGAAAAATCACACAATACTTTCCTGCTCCGCTCCACTCTGACCGTGATGTCACCACTCTAGCGCTGAACAAGCCGTGCAATACACACCCATTGTAAAATGTGAAATCTGTGACTTCATGAAAACTGTGCTAGCTATCAAAATGTCTATTTGGCTCATTAAAGTGCAGCGTTTTTGTCTACGTTTTAAACTTTGAATCATGTACGGCTAGTTAATATGGGCCCAAAGTTCAGTGTTTTTTTGCTCTTCACGCCGAAACCCCATTCAAGTGAATGGAGAAATTTTGTTCCGATTTTCGCAATTTTTGGAAAACCGCTGGACAAATCTCTGAGAAAAGTCATAGCACACGATTCCCGATCAAACCGCATGTTTTGATGTATTTCTTGTGCAGGTGTTGGCAACGCTGTGTGAGGAGAAGCACGCCAAACTTTGTACAGAAGAAGAACAAGGCGGAAAAAAATAAGCCCGCAGGATGAGTCAGTGTGCTGTTTTACTGCCTCACACTGACTTATTATATTATTATATTATTATTATAGTCCTTAAATCTGCACACGACGTAGTGAGTCTGTACGGTCGCTGACTGACTGGGTGACATCACGCTGACATCATGTGGGTGTGTCATGTGGATCAACGTTGAGTGTTTTGTCTGATGCGGCGGCGCTGTTTGCCTCCACGTGGACCTCACCGGGTCCGTTGGCGTGGTCGTTGGCGTGGTCGTGGTGTCTCGGGCTGCTGTCGCCGACCCGCCGGTGGAGCTGCACCACGGTGGTCTTTGAGGGCATCGAGGAGTGAACGTTCTCCATCAGCTGATGTTCACAGTGGAACAGAATCAGGAAGCAGCGGTAGAACTGAGGAACCAATGAAACAGACGAGATCAATAAGTGACAAAAAAATAGATGAAATAATCATATTATTCAGGTGATTCAAATATATGTTTTTAATAGTTGGAATGCTGTTAAGCATTCCAACTATTGTTCTTCGAATCTTTATTCAACTTCTTCAACTTCTATTTCTTCCGTACGTATTTTGCTACTTAACTCCTTCCACATTTTTTAAGCTTCAGAAACCGTTCAAATATCAAAATGTTCAGCTCATTCAGCTCATGTGTGCTATATCTTTTCATATTTCTAACCTTTAAACTTTTTGAATTATTAAGCTTTTTGCACATTTTCTTTTGAATGGGTTTCTATGGAGAACATCTTCAAATTCTCTTCAACTTTCAAATCCTTCTACTTCCTCATACTTTCAGCTACAGACACCATTTTAACTTTAAACTGTTGAGAAAATCCTGATCTATTGCCGCATAATTCAGCTTTTTTATATCTTTTAGACTTTTTGAACTGTAACAATTTAACTTTCATGATTTTTTCAGTCCTTTTCTGACTTTATAATGGGTGTGTATTGCGCAGCTTAGAGTGCGTGATGTCACCGCTAGAGTGAAGAGCAGCTTGAGATTCTTGCGAAAAAAAGATTTGTGTTTTGCCACTGTGTCCACAATCTTCACTCTTCATGCATCATTTCTGGATGTAGAAGTAGCTAATCTTGTCCTTGTCGTAGACAAATGACTGTGGAATCCCACAGATTTACACATTTGGCACAGAAGCCTGTAATTGAGAGGAAAACCAACTTTCTGCTCCATAGAGACCAATGTTAAATTTTGCTTCAAAAACATCTTCCACGGAACACGGTACCCCATTTCTAGATCGCCAGTTCAGCCACATTTTTTACACTACAGACACAATTTTTACAGGATCTGTTCTTCAACTCATCCTTCCTCTCATTTATTAATATCGGAGCAATAGGAGCTACGGTTATGGGAGTTTTGAGGATTTGTTTGAGAGGTGTTTCTGTTTTATCTCCATGAAAAGGCTGCAAGGACACAGGTGTTTCTGATTAAGCTAATTAGTGATGTTGATAAACACAGACTCACGGACACACACTCTCTCTCTCTCTCTCTCTCTCTCTCTCTCTCTCTCTCTCTCTCCCTCTCTCTCTGTGTCTCTCTCTCATACAGTCATTCAGGTTCTTAGAGATCTTTAGAGGATCCCCCCCACACACACACCCCATTTTAAAATAAAAGCCCCACAGAGTGAATTCTAACTGAAATGCTTATGATGAAGCCTGACATTTAATAACATGTTTGTGTTAATCTAACAATATGAGTCCATCTCCTCTCCCCTTCTCCCCCCCACACCCCATTTCAAAATAAAAGCCCCACAGAGTGAAATATAACTGAAATGCTTGTGATGAAGCCTGTCATTTAATAACCTCTGTTTATGTCTCAAACATTATGATTATGGCTCGTCTCCCCCCCACCCAGCCCCACCCTTTCAAAATAAAAGCCCCATGGATTAACTGTATGTAAACATTAAGCTCAAAATTAGGCTTTTTTGTTGAAATAATGAATGTTCTTACTAATACCGCGACAACTACTACTGCTGCTAATGTTTCTAGTATTACTACTACTACTGCTGCTACTACAATTTTTGGTGTTGCTACTATTACTAGTGCTATTACTGCTACCATCAATATTATTACTACCACTACTGCTATTACTACCACTACAACTGCTACTACTGCTATTCATGCTACTACCAGTACTAATACTACTACAGCTATTAGTATGACTAGTACTACTACTACTGCTATTACTGCTACTTCAAATACTGAAATTACTTTTACTACTACTACTACTACTACTGATATATTAAATACTACGACCACTACTACAGCTATTACTACTACTACTGATACTACTACTTCTTCTAAATACTAATACTTCTACTGCTAATGATACTTCTACTACAACTACAACTTCTACTACTATTACTACAAATATCACTACTGCTGACATTTTTTTAAACTACAGAAACCGTTCAAATATCAAAATGTTCAGCTCTTTCAGGAGAGGGGTGCTTTGACTTTTCATATTTGTAATCTTTAAACTTTTTGAATTAAGCTTTTTGCAATTTTCTGTTGAATGGGATCTCTATGGAGAAAATCTTCAAATCCTGTTATACTTCTTCAACTTTCAAAGCCTTCTTCTTTCTCATAACTTCAGCTACAGACACCATAGTGAGACATTTTAACTACAAGGGTTTTCAGCAGTGCAGTTTAAATGCTTTCGGGCTTCAACATTTTTCAGACGGGTAGTCTCCCATTTCTTAATTTTCAGCAATTTTTTTACAATTCATTTCAGCTTTCAGCATTCCAACGCATTTTCAGCAGGAAATGCATTTTCTAGTTACATAAAATATAGTTTTCTATCACATCACATGATCTTCCTCAGCTGCTATAATTTACACTTTTATTTTGTTAAACTTTTTAATTCATATAGTTTATATTTTATATATATATATATTTGTAATATTTCTGGTGTTCGATTTCTTTTTCTTTTTTTATTTGTTGACGTGATGACATCATCGTTCTCCAGGCATCCTGCTGATGATGTCACTGTGTCGCGAGGTCAGCGTGTACGAGTTCGTCCCGTCGGTGCGTTGCACCGACCGCTGTCACTACTACGAGCTTTACCGGGACGACGCCTGTACGCTGGGAGCCTACCACCCTCTGATGTACGAGAAGATGCTGGTCCAGAGGATCAACCAGGGGGACCAGGACCAGCTCAGGAGGAGGGGCAAAGTCTCTCTGAGGGGGTTCAGAGAGGTCCGGTGTGGGTCTTGATCCTGATCTAACACGCTGAGGGGGTTCAGGACGGTCCGGTGTGGGTCTTGAGCTAGTTTTTTTAAAATTTTTGTCATTCTTCACACCCGCTGTATTCATAGCTAACACCATTTCCCAGCTTCATTAACTCTTAATTATTTTTCTCTCTTTGTGTGAAACCAGTCAGCTGTGAAACCAGTTTTATAAATAGACCCTCGGGCCCCTGAATGCATCATTAAAGACTTGAAACGCTGCCAAAATGTGTCCTGAACCCGACAATTAACAGGTTTAACAAAAGGTCAAATAAAATATCCATCTAAACTTGGTTTATAAAAGTATGTTTGTGGTAAAAAATGTGTTTAATATGAATAATGATAATAATATAACTCGGCAACAAAAGTGTTTATTTTTTTACTGTTAGTTTCATGTTTTATGTTTCATGTTTCGATAAAAGATAATTGTTTTGTACTTAAACAAAATAAAACTAGCGTGTTACACCTGTGTGTCCACCACCTTTCATTGTTTACGTTAGCATAGTCGCTAGTTTTGTTAGCTAGTGTTAGTGTCTACGTTAGTTTTGCTAGCTACTGTCAGTGTCTACGTTAGTTTTGATAGCTAATGTTAGTGTCTACGTTAGTTTTGCTAGCTAGTGTTAGTGATTACGTTAGTTTTGCTAGCTACTGTCAGTGTCTACGTTAGTTTTGTTAAGTAGTGTTAGTGTCTACGTTAGTTTTGCTAGCTACTGTCAGTGTCTACGTTAGTTTTGCTAGCTAGTGTTAGTGATTACGTTAGTTTTGCTAGCTACTGTCAGTGTCTACGTTAGTTTTGTTAGCTACTGTCAGTGTCTACGTTAGTTTTGTTAGCTAGTGTTAGTGTCTACGTTGGTTTTGCTAGCTACTGTCAGTGTCTACGTTAGTTTTGTTAAGTAGTGTTAGCGTCTCGTCTTTATTAAAATTTGTACTCACCACTTTGTCAATACTGACAAAATATGTTGAACTTTTAAACTAAAATCCTGGATCAGATGCCGTCTGATGCTCATCACCTTTCGGCTGTACTCACCTGTTTGTTCATGAGGATGTAGATGACGGGGTTAATGACGGTGCTGCTCTTGGCGAGGATGGAGGGGACCACGGCGGTGATGGGGCTGACGACTCCCGGCTGTCCGAAGGTGGCCATCATGGCGACGACGCCGTACGGCATCCAGCAGAGCAGGTAACACACCACCGTGGTGACGACCATGAACAGGATGTGGAACTCTCTGCGACGAGCCGCCGTCGGCCTGATACGACCCACCTGACAGAAAAAATACTTTATATAATACTTTGATCAAATTAAAATATTTAAAAATAAGTATAGATTTAAAAAAGTAAACAAAGTTAAAAAAAAAATTGAAATAATAAATGGTGAGGACAGAAATATTTGGAAAGTATAAAAATAAAACAAGTAAACAAAAATAAAAAGACATTTAAATAATAAATAAACCATGAATATTCAATAAAAATGTATATTTCAATATTAAAGAAAAAAAAAGTTCACGTATAAGAAATAAAAATGAATGAGAATCTGACAAATGTCTAAAATAAAACAACATAATAAAGTAGATGAATCAAATCAGGAACCTGTTTGACGGCGTACAGCAGGCGTCCGTAGCAGTACACCATGACGAGGACCGGGACGCCCAGACAGAAGACAAACAGACAGATGATGTACGAGTGAGAGCCGGACGACCTCTCCGTCCACGTCACAGAGCAGCTGGTCCCGGCTCCCTCCAGACCGTAACTGCTCCAGCCCAGTAAGGGGGGCACCGTCCAGACCACCGAGTACAGCCAAGACCCCCCCACCGCCAGCAGGGGCTTCCTGTAGTCCGACACCTGCTTGTTGTACACCATCAGGGTGCTGTAGCGCTCGTAGGACAGGACGGCCAGAGAGACCAGAGACACGATGCCTGATGGAGACAATGAGAGGAGGACATGTTGGATTCAAGCACCTGAGACATTAGTCTCTGTCAGGCAGAGACCACAGGACGTAGGCAATGGAGTCATAGCCATGAAGACGGGACGGAGGCGACCACGACAACCGGACGTAACACAACAACGTGACCTAGGCGACCGCAGTGACCAGATTATAATGTACACAATATTGTAATCTTCTACTTGAACAATACATGTCTAAATCTCCAGATAAAAGTAAACGGGTTTGGATGTGTGTAGCTGCTCATGATGGCGTGATATCACATTATGATAATAAACACTGATAAGCTCTCAGTGAACCTTTTCCAGCAGACTGATCTCTTCTGACCCAAATCTCTCTAATTCTGTCCTCACAGAGCGATTAAGTCCTGAACCGTCCCCCATGAGGGTCTGATCCGCATCATCAGGTCTCAGGAATCAACACAAGTCCACCAGAGTTCTCAGACTGGTTCAGTTTGACCACAAAGTAAGAACCTCTTGTTATCTTTTAACATTGAAGATTTCCTTTTATTATATTCATATTTAACATGTGAACTCTTCTTTAACAGAAATTAAAGTTCAAGTACTTAAATACTGTACTTCACTTCTCAACTTAAGTATCTGCTGCTTTCTACTTTCTCCATATTAATAATCGTTGATATTTTTATTATTATAAGAGGAGAAATCGTGACATTTTTAGGCAAAAAGTCGTAATATTTAAAGAAAAATGTCAGAATGATGAGAGAAAAAATGTTTTTTGTTGGCCCCTGAGGGTCTAGTCTGGGTGTCATGTCAGTAGAAACAGTAGAGTCCACCATGTTTACAGAACACACAGGTCATGTGACCCCAAGATCAAAGACAGGAGCAGAGGGAGGTGTCACACTGACAACGACTGAAGAAGTTATTATTAATAATTATTATTAATGTATTAATTTATCTCCTTTAACGGGACTGAAAAACAGTTTTACTGTGAATATGATGTATTTAACTTAATTTATATAGTTTATACACACAAAGTTAATAAATACATGTTGATATATACTGTATAGATATAATGTAGATGTATAAAGTATATACAGTATATAAGGTTGATCCAGTATGAAGTAGATTTATAGACAAAGTTGGTATATGTAAATTGTTAAAGAGTTATATACATACAGTTGATATCCTACCTATGATATATACTACTTACTGTATATTCCATGTACTCGTACTCACCGAAGCACGAGTTGATGAAGCCGTACCACATGCAGCCGCTGCGGCCGTACAGCCAGCGGCTGCGCAGACTGGACGCGAAGCTGAGCGTCGTGCCGCACACGCAGACCAGCATGTCGCTGACGCTGATGTTGAGCAGCAGCATGTTGACGGGGGTCCGCAGGGTCTTGAAGCGGCAGAACAGGACCAGGACCAGCAGGTTGTTGAGGAAGCCGAACACCATGATGGAGCCCAGGAACACCGACACCACGCGGTGGCCGCCGCGCGACAGACGCTCGTGCGTCGTGTCGCTCCAGTCGTGCTCCAGAGAGAACGGCGGTCCGCTGACGTTGGTCGTCAGGTTGGCGTCGCTCACCTCGGGGAACATCACGCGGAACCGTGCGTAAAGGTGAGCCGCGAGGTTTTACGCACGAGGTTTTATGCACGGCGCGGTGCGCGCGGAGCGGCTCCTCGTTGTAGACAAATAAAAAAGCAGCAGAAGCTCGTTGGATTTACATTCTGAAGAAGAGGAGAACTAATGGAGGCGAAGCGTCCCGCACCGACGCGCCACCGCCGCTGTCCGCTCCATCCTCCGCCGCCGCAGCAGCGGCACCGCGCCGCGAGGACAGACAGCCAGAAGAGATCAATATGAGACAGTGACGAGCTTCTTCTTCTTCTTCTTCTTCTTCTTCTTCTTCTCTCGTTCACCTCACAGAGCGGACGTTTCCGTCTCTCCACATGCAGCCGAACTGACGCTCCTGCGCCGCGCTGCGGTTTAAGTACTCTGACCGCTGATCACGTGACTTTATCCTTTATACTTTATATGTTTATTTTCTGTATATATATATATATATATATAATATTTATATTAAATATATATGTATCATATTTTTCCTCTTTCAGGAGTAGAGAGCGTGACTTCTGCTGCAGCTCAACGCCTGCAAGGCATCATGGGAGATTTGATTTAGTTAAAGTTTGTGGTTTTGGTTGACATCAACATTACTACCAAGCAGGAGGAAGAGAAGAAGAAGAAAACGTGTTGAAGGAGAAGAAGACATTCAACATGGCCGACGTCCCTGAGGAGCTCCATCTGGAGACCACAGCTGTCACCCCCTCCAGCACCAGACCTGGACCCAGCTGATCCTCAGACCTGGACCCAGCTGATCCTCAGACCTGGACCCAGCTGACCCCCCAGTCCTCAGACCTGGACCCAGCTGACCCTCAGACCTCAGACCATCAACATATTTATTGATACGTTTCACTTGTTACTTACTTCAGTAAAAGTACACAAGCATTATAAAATGACAAAAGTACACATATATATATATATATATATATATATATTTATTTCTAAAAAGAAAAAATAACATGATTTTAAAGACTAAATACAGAATAAATAACATTCTACACACTGATGATATGTTTTGTAAAGCTATGTAGTATTACTGTGGTATTACTGTAGTATTACTGTAGTATATGTACTCAGAATACATGAGGTTTTAGCTGCTGGCTATCGGACGATGTCATTTATTTTCACACTAACTGACCAATGAGATTATTTTTATTTCTGCCTCCAGAGCAGCTCAGCAGGAAGGAAACTCCTCCTGGCTCCTGATTGGTGGCTGACAGACGGGTGATTGACAGCAGCAGTGAGGAGGAGGAGGAAGAGGAGGAGGAGGAGGAGGAGGAGGAGGAGGAGGACGCTGACTGTCTCAAGGTGAAACTTTACAGGTCAGAAGATGAAATATGTTTTACTTCATGGTTCATTTAGAAGCATTAAAGGAGATTAAGGTGAAGAAGACTCAGGGTTCACTGTAGGAACCGGTCTGAGATGAACCTGTTGGAACTGGTCTGAGATGAACCTCTTGGAACTGGTCTGAGATGGACCTGAGGACTGTAGGAACCGGTCTGAGATGAACCTGTTGGAATTGGTCTGAAATGAACCTGTTGGAACTGGTCTGAGATGGACCTCTTGGAACTGGTCTGAGATGAACCTGTTGGAACTGGTTTGAGATGGACCTGAGGACTGTAGGAACCAGTCTGCGATGAACCTGTTGGAACTGGTCTGAGCGAACCTGTTGGAACTGGTCTGAGATGGACCTCTTGGAACTGGTCTGAGATGAACCTGTTGGAACTGGTTTGAGATGAACCTGTTGGAACTGGTCTGAGATGAACCTGTTGGAACTGGTCTGAGATGAACCTGAGGACAGTTGGAAACAGTCTGAGATGGACCTGTTGAAACTGGTCTGAGATGGACCTGTAGGAACCGGTCTGAGATGGACCTGAGGACAGTTGGAAACACATCCTCATCCTGAAAATCACATTTCCTCTGACATCACCTCCTGAAAGTCAAACCACAGGGTTCATGTGTCCCACGCTTCGTCTCCCTGTCAGACAAACATCAGTAAAAAATAAAAGATGTTTTTAAATAACTCGTCTTCACAAAATAAGAGTTTTTACTTTGAGGACTTGTTCAAATGGTGATGTGGTTGAAAGATCCGGAAAATGCCAGTAAGTGGACTTTGAGTTGTTTTGACAACACTGGATATTTATGCTAAATGCTAAAGCTAATGTTAAAAACAGTTGTTGCCCCGTTGTTGTTCCGTCTCTTCCCCCGTTGTTGCTCCGTCTCTTGCCCCGTCTCTTGCCGCGTCTCTTGCCCCGTTGTTGCCCCGTTGTTGCTCCGTGTCTTGGCCCGTTGTTGCCCCGTTGTTGCCGCGTCTCTTGCCCCGTTGTTGCCCCGTTGTTGCTCCGTCTCTTCCCCCGTTGTTGCCCCGTTGTTGCTCCGTGTCTTGGCCCGTTGTTGCCCCGTTGTTGCCCCGTCTCGTGGCCTGTTGTTGCCCCGTTGTTGCCCCGTTGTTTCCCCGTCTCTTGGCCCGTTGTTGCCCCGTTGTTGCCCTGTCTGTCTGCTCTCTGTGTGAAGGTCAGGCTGAATGCAGCTCCCCTCAGGCTTCATCATCTTCATCATCATCAGCTGATCTAAATGCAGATGTTGCGTTGCCAGCTGAGGCGTTGCTCGTCACAGGAAGTGTGAAAACTGAACGTGTGATCTTCCTGCAGGCTGATCTGAGAGCAGCTCCGTCTTTCACTCGACTTTGAGGGTTTCAACATTTAAATAAGAAAAAGAAGAAACGTTTTACTTTATATCAGAATGTTATATCATATTTTTTATATGTTATATTATATATATTTAAATTATATGTCTATTGTATTATTATATTATAATGTTATTTACTATATTATATTAGTATCATGTATTATAATTGTATTTATTTATTATATTAGACCTATAGTATCATATAATATTACTAATAAACCAGTGTTTTAATTCATGGCCACAATAATGAAGCTGGTTTATTGATCTACAGGTTAAATATTAAATGAATATGAGGTATTACATAAATATTCGTTAAAAAGTGTAGAAATAATCAAAATATCAAAATATACTTCAATAAGTTTGTAATAAATATGATTTGCTTCTCTGTTAATCATCAAAACATCTATTGTGTCTGATAATAATACATAAGTCTTATATAATAGTCTGTGTGCTAAATGATCACTGACAACATTAAACATTAAACATTAAATTGGAGTACGCTGATCCAATGCTAATGTGTTAGCAGTTAGCTCACGTCCGTGAACCCGTGACTGCACCCAGTGAAGGGTTAAATATATTGTTTATGTTTTATTAATAATCCTCTGTACCTCAGCATAAAGTACAATATGTACCTCTGAGATGTAGTACAGTATAAAGTACTATATGTACCTCTGGGATGTAGTACAGTATAAAGTACTATATGTACCTCTGGGATGTAGTACAGTATAAAGTATAATATGTACCTCTGAGGTGTAGTACAGTATAAAGTACAATATGCACCTCTGTGGTGTAGTATAGTATAAAGTACAATATGCACCTCTGAGGTGTAGTACAGTATAAAGT